AGAAATAATATTGGAAGGCAGGATGAACTGACTGCACTGATTAAGTTTTCAGGTGGATTTTCCCACTTAAAAACATAAAAAAAACTACTTTATTCCCACTGATCACTGCAAATATAGCTGCAAAGCAAAGAAAGGATAGAGTAGCTCCGCCCAATGCGCGTCAGAGCCAATTTTGGACCGTGCAACCAGAGCAGCAAAGCTGCTTCAGCCGCGCGTCAGAACTAAACTAGTACAAGCAGCAAAAAGGAAGCAGAAGACGCGATTTTGCTGCTCCTTCTGCGTCCGGTGTGTAACTAAAAGTCAACATCTTTAGTTATTATAAAGAAATAAATCATTTTCTTTCAACTTTTCATCAAGATAAAGAAACGTTTAACCATGTTGGAAGATGTAAACATCTTGGTTGAACAGTTCTGGTGACTCTGGATATGTCAAGATAATGAAACTTGTTTGGATTTATTTATGTCTCTAAACTGTATAATATCTTCTGTGACTAAATGAGATGAAGATGTGGTCGTTTTGATCCGCTTTGACCTCCTGGTTGTCATCATTTGCAGGATAGCCCGTTTTTCCAGCGTCCATCACCTCTCCATCCACATCTCTAAGAACTTCGGGGACGAGAACACTCGGGTGTACTACATCGGCCTCAGAGGGGAATATTCAGAGGTTTGAAAGCTGTTTTTGATTTTCCCCATCATCTGATCTGATGCGCTTTTTTTGGTCCCGTCACGCTGAAGTTCTGCTCTGTTCCCTGTCAGGCGCACAGACATGAAGTGACCATCTGTAACTACGAGGCAGCGGCGAACCCGGCGGATCACAAAGTGGACAGCATCATCCCACAAACCAACTTCATCTCCTGAGGGCTGGAGGAAGAGGAGGATTAGAGATTTTAGAGGCGTTCACTGAATGTCTAAAAGTCAGAGAGTTCGGCGCTGAATGAGGCAGCGAGGACGAGTTTGAGTGGGAGCGTGTGCTGAAATCTGGGAAAAAAGTGGCATATTTCAGTTGTTTCCGTGGCAACGTGGCGCAAAGGCTCAATAAAACTGGCAAAGATGCATGAATTTTTTTTTTTTTCCTGTCACTGATGAATTTTGCTATTGAAGTACAGAAAGGCAGGAAAGGGTTGCTTTGCTGTTACATAAACATCCCGGTTGCCATGCCAACAGTCTAGAGTCATCATGGGCTCCATGCTGTCACCTTTTCCTGTTTAACTCGTGAACAACTTTGCCCGACTGTATTTTTTTTCTCACATGAAGTCGATGCTGAAACAGAAATCTGAAACTATCCTCGATGCTTAATCTTTTTTTTCATCATTTCTGCTGCTTAAAAAAAAGAAATAAACATTTTCAAGTTAAACTGACTTTTCTGAGATTTTTTAGCAGCATCTGCTGCCCTTTGCTGGACATCCCAGGTTAAAACCACAGTAGTAGATATGAGGTGTGTGATGCTGCGTAAAAAACATAAATATCAATACATTAAAATCTAAGCTTTATACGGAAGAGGATTAGGGCCACTGAAAAAAAAAAAGTTAACTGATTTTTTATTTTATTTATTTCAGTATAGTATGGGGAAAAAAGTCAGAATTCTGACTTTAATGTCAGAATTTTTTGGTATCTCTTTTCTTGCACCTTTTTAACATTTCAACACGTGTTAATAAACGTGAGGACTTTCTTATTCTGGTCAGACATCTTCTTTAGATAAGGATTTATTTCAGATAATTCATATTCAGGTATGTTTGTTATGTAGAGGAAAATAAATGTGCTGACTTTATTTTTAAAATGTATAAAAACCTTCTGATAAGAACATGATTTTAGTTTCATTTATTTTATGGAACAACAACCGAATCCACTTATTTGTTTTAAATATTTCGTTACCAATTTATTTTCAAAGGTAGCAGAATGGAAATTTTGCAAGTGGAATTCAGATTAAAAAAAGAAAACTGTTTCTAAGAAATATTAAAATGAATTTATCTATAGGCTCATTTAAAACAGTTAAGCAGAATTTTTTTTTATTTTTCTTTTCTGACACTTTTTTTAACATTTAAACACGTACTTATAAACATTAGGACTTACTTATTGTGGTCAGACATCATCTTTAGATGAGGTTTTATTTCAGATGTTTTTCTATTTTATATTCACTGCCGCACTTGAAAAATAAAAATGTCTTGACAGCTGTACTGAACAAAATTAATTTTTGCATACACTGTGTTTACAAAATGACAATAAAACCTAAGTCTAATATTCAGATATGTATGGAAGAGGATTAGGGCCACTGGAAAAAAAAGGTTGATTTTTAAATTTTATTTCAGTTTAGTATGGGGAAAAAAGTCAGATTTCTGACTTTTTTCTCTGAATTCTGACAATAAAAAAGTCATAATTCTGAAATTAAAGTCATAATTCTGAGGAAAAAAGTCATAATTCTGAA